ACACATTTTTGAACTAAATTTAGTAACACAATTTTTATCAATAGAAAGTTTGCTAACTGATAGTAAATTGCAATCCAATTTTGGTACATAAAGTACTGAATGAAGGGTCAACTGTGGTGTTAAAACAATAGAACTAGTTCCAGCCACTCTGGAGATTGACCTATCTACAATTTTAATTATGAAATTCTCATATGATGTTTTGTAACTCTGAAATAGGGATACATTATTCGTCATATGGTTTGATGCTCCAGAATCAACCACCCACGTGTCCTGTTTTGAAGAACATGTTGTCAAACCAATTGTTGCTTTACCTTTTTGTGCCACCGTAGCACGCACGGGCTGAGTAGGTAAACAATTCTGCTTGAATAATTGTTGAAGGACCTCCATTTGTGCAACATTGAACGGACTGCTTTCTGCAACGTTTTCTTCGACAGTGGAAGTAGCAATATTTCCTTGACGACTCTCTGTTCTTTCAGCCTTATTCTTGCTGGTTTTCCCGTGCAACTTCCAGCATTTCTCACGGATGTGGCCGAGTCTCCTGCAGTGATCACAGTACGGTCTTCCCTTCTTTCCACGGAATTCAGACTGCGTGGTGAGTGCAGAGGTACTTTCGGCAGAGTAGGTAGGTTGAGCTTCTCCCATCATCACCCACCTCCTGCTCTCTTCTCTCCGGATTTCCGCGAACACTTCTCGGATGTTGGGTAGTGGTTTCATTCCCAGCACCTGTCCACGAACCTTGTTCAGACTTTTGTTGAACCCCATCAAGAATTTGAAGATTTTTTTCTGCTCAACAAAGAGTTTGAACGTCTGAGCATAATTTGGACAACTCCATTGATGCTCCTCGAAGGTATCCAATTGTTGCCAGGTTCGAGTTAGTGAATTTAAGTACTGGGTAACAGAAAGTTCATCTTGATGCAGCCTATGGAGAGTCGACTCGACCTCGAAGATGGCGGAGATGTTATCTTTGCTGGAGTACGATTCGCGAGCCGCTTCTCAGATTTCTTTCGCTGTTTCATAAAACATGAAGTTCTCACCAATGTCGGGCACCATTAAGTTAATAAGCCACGACATTACCGTGTTATTCTCTATTTTTCATACGCGGAAACTTATGTCGCTAGTTGCGGGAGGATAGTTTCACCTGTGAGTAATTGTCGCGGCCTTTGTCGCGAATAAACAGTAAGACGGAGATTGACCATTGAAGTAGTTCTGTCCATTCAGTTTGCACCCGTGATGAACGATGATGCCTACTCAACTAGGCT